CTGCTGTTCTACCCCTGGCATAGCAAAGGAATTTTTATTAAAATTATTTTCATGTGGGGAGACAGAGACAGTATAGGGATTAGTGCATTTGCCTTGCATGAGGCTGACACTGATTTAATCCCTGCTCTGAAGATGGTCTCCTGTGCATCAGTAGAAGTGACCCTCAAGCACAGAGCCAGGAATAGATGCTGAATACCTCTGAGTGTGGCCTCTCCAAATAGTTTAAATTATGTTTTATTTTCTACCACTTCTTCCTTCTGTTGGATTTGACACACCTGATCAAATGACTAGGGCTCACACATGCGCCCGGCCCAGGGGTGCCAGTACTTACCTGTGGTTTTTGCCAGGGGCTGTGCTCACACTGTTGGTGCTTATGGTTGCAGGGCTCACTGGAGGTGGCACCCCTGGGCATAATGCTCCCAACTCCTATACGTTGCAGTACTCCCTGGCGTCACACCTTTTAGTCTAGATGCTTGAACGCACTGGCTGCATTTTGGCCACAAGTCAGTTGTAGTGCTGGGGTCTCAGAGACATGAGCTGGGGTCAGACAACAGAACTGCTAAGATGGTGGCACCAGAGGTCAAACTTGCAGCCAGATGCTTGCAAAGTAGGTGCTTTAGCCACTCAGTCATCTCCTGGATTTCCATTTTATTTTATTTATTTTTATTTTTGAACCACACCCAGCATTACTCCTGGCTTACTCCTGGCTCTGTACTCAGGAATAACGCCTGCAGTGCTCAGGGGACCATATGAGATACTAGGGATGGAACCTGAGTTGGCTGCATGCCAAGTAAGCGTCCTACCTGCTGTACTATTGCTCTAACCTCCCATTTTATCTTTAATTAAGGTAAAATGCCATCCCACTGTTGTGCAACCATTGCCTGCCCCGCCTCATTCCCCATACAGAACTTCACCTTCCCAAATGGAAATTCCCTGCACATTGAATACAAATTCCCCATTTCCTCCCCACCACTATCCTGGGAAACTGCTTTCCTACTTGCTGCATTTATGATTTTGACTACCCAAGGCACTTCATATGTGTGGAATCATACTGTGTTTCCCTTTTAGTCACTGATCATTTGTTCATTCAGTCATGTCCTAGGGGTTCATTTAGACATATGAATTTAGACATATGTATGCATCTATTATCAGTTATCCATGACATGTGCCCATTGTTCATGGACACACACACACATCTGTTATCTATTATCCAGAGTCTCTGAGTCTTCCAGGTCCTCTGATTCCACTTGTCCATCCTTTACGTGGCACGTGAACTAGGCCAAGTGCACTGGCTTCGTCTCTCCTGCTGTCTCATTTCTGTGAGCTAATCTGTTTTGCTCTCTGAATCTGGGTTTTGGGGAGCAGGACTATAGCTCCTACTGCTTTCTGGGGGTGTACCCATTACAGTGGTGGTCTAGGAGATGGAGGCTGTGGTCCAGAGGGAGGCGGATCTGTCCTGTCCAATATGGCCCATCTCTATCTGCACTCACTGGGCCCTGAACCATGCACCACTGAATGCCCCCTTTGACATTCATGTTGGAGCAAGAATCAGCCAGAAACATGTAGAATCCACCTTTCTCACCGTCCAGGTCTCTGACACCCCACGGCCCATTAAGGCCCCCTCTGCCCTCAGCACCTGCACGGGCTCCACACCCCCTGCAGCCCCTTCTTACATGGTCAATGGGTGGGGTGTGGTAAGGCTGCTGTCAGCCTTCCCTCTTTTCAATGTTTGTTAAAAATGAAAAGCTATATTTGAGTTTACAATAGAATTCTAAATAGGCCCAGAGAAGGAAACACACAGTGTTCCCACAGCCAAGAGCTGCCCTGCTTCTATTTTGGTTTCTTTGCACATGAGTTCCCTAGAGGGGGATGTGGCAGAGGGGAAGGTAAGTCTGGGGGTGTGTGGGGATGGTTCTAACGTCAGTGAGGCTTCAGGGCTCCTGGCGATGGGTTTGCAGCCTCTCCTGTGGGTTCTCTCATAGGTGTCTGTGTGGGACTGTACGGGCAGACGTGCCACCAGCAGAGGCAGAACTGCCAGGTCGGGTTGACTCAGAGCAACTGTTGGTTTCCTGCTGTGTCTGAAAAGGTCCCCAGGCTAGAGTGGCCCTGGGGTGTGGGTTGAGCAACAGGCTCACAGAATTCCCTTTGTAACTTGGCATTTGGTCATGGTATCTGCCTTGGGCCCTCTGTGGGGTCAGAAGTGACGCAGGAAGGAACAGGTGCTTTTGAATGTCCTGTTACACAAGCAGAAGAAGGAAAGGTCACCAGCAGGTTCTCTTCTCTCCTGGGTGATAAGTGGTACCAACTTGGCTGTCACTCCTGGAGCCTCAGTTTCCTTATCCGAAGGGAGCAATGGTAATGCCCAATCCTGGGCTGGGCAGATGAAAAGTAGAGGCCAGGGAAAGGGAAAGGGGAAAAGGGGTATGTTCTTTCACTTATGAGCAGGAGTAGAAAGGAAGAGAAAGACACCCAAAGTGCTGGGGGCCTGGGCAGGGAAAGTGGGAGTGTCCTAACTGCTGGCAGAGTTGATGCTTCCCTAAGGCCCATCTCTATAGTGCTTCCAGCCTCTCTCTCTCCCATCTACCCGTTCACCAATTCCTTCCCTCTTTCACTTCCTTTCCTTGCTGTCTCCCCTCTTCTCCCCCCCTCCTCTCCTTTTCTCTCTCTCCTCTTCCTCCTTCCTCCCTCCTGTCTCCCCTCCTTCCTCTCCTGTTCTCCTCCCACAAATACCTCCCAAGAGTCAGGCCCATCGCAGGTTATTGTCCTAGGTGAGGGGACTAGAGCAGTGATGGAGAAGTAACAATCCTTGTCTCCTGGGAGGGTCTGGGGACAGATGAGCAGCAAACCAGAGGCATGGAGCTCATTATTGGCAGTATGTGGCAGAGGCTGTGGGACATGAGGCTGAGTGTGCCCTCATGGAGCCCTGCCAGGGAGTCCACCTGGTGGCAAATCTGGAGGGCTCTCTGAGGAGGGGCTGGTAGATGGAGCCCAAAGGTAGGAGATGTGAGAAGAGCTTTGGGAGACTGAGGCTCTCCAATTCAGGCAGAACCTGGCCAGGGCCGTGTGCATGCGTGTGTGTGTGTGTGTGTGTGTGTGTGTGCGTGCATGTGTGCATGTGTGTGTATGCATATGTGCATACGTGTGTGTGTGTGTGTGCGTGGCAGGGTGGGGGTGGGTGTGTACAGGATGGAGTGGGTTCTCTTTCCATAAGAAGAGCACTGTGGGGACGGTGAGGGCCCTCTGCTGTGTGATCTTGCTCTGCCACCTTTATTTCACCTCACTCTTTTCAACTGCAAATGGAGATAAGAACTGAGTCCACTGCTTAGATTTGTTTTAGAATAGAGATCTGAAGATCTCAGAAGCGAGGCTGGTACATAAGAGTATCTACTCAGCTAATTCTCCTCCCATGCAGGGCTCTGTAGGATGGTGGATTCAGTTCCAGGAAGGAAGCCTAGGAATGGGGGCACAACTGAAAGTCAGAAGGAGGGGGAGGGTTGTGATATGTCACTGGGTGCTGCTTGGTTCCCCCTCAGAACTCAGATGGTCCACAGCAACTCAGATTCTATCGAATTTCCCATGTCTACAAACACACACACACACACACACATACACACACACACAAACACACAATTTTCTCTGCACTCTCATCTTGGAAATGATCCCTCCATTCATTCATCTATTCATTAAGGCGATTTGGGTCCTCTGGCCCAAACCTAGGGACCATCTCCCATCTGCGAACCCTTTCTTTCTCTTGCCTCTTTCAGCCTAGGAACAATTGGCTAGGCTTGAATCATTGGCAAAATTCGGCATGGCTACCTCTCTTTCCCTCCCCTCCTGTCACCAGGGACCCTGCGGTAGACAGCTGGGACCTCTGCCTTCTCATGACACTGTAAGCTTTCCTCACTCTCTTTAGCCTTGGCCTCTCTGTGTCTCCTGCTTACAGGGCTGCAGCACAGTTGTGTTTCAGTGGCCCCTGGCCGTCTGCCACCACCCTTATTTTATAGTTCACGTGGGTTTGGGAAATACAACAAAATTCAGCCTCCCCCAATATGAGTTCTTTGAAAAGAGGGCAGTGTGGCCTCAGGTTGAAGCAGCTTGGAAAGTTTCTAATGAAAGTGACTGGCCTTCCTTCACCGTTGAAGATGTAACTTTCCCTCTAAAACAACCCAAATGTGCAATGATGAATAAATAGATAAAGAACTTGTGGTGTCTATGCACAATAGAATACTATGCAGCTGTAAGAAAGGATGAACTCTTCAGTTTGTTGCAAATTGGATGGAATTGGAAGGAATCATGTTATGTGAAATAAGTCAGAGGGAGAAGGTAAATACTGCACAATTCACTCACGTGTGGTCTATAGAGAAACAAGGAAGTAGATAGTATTAAATGGTGACAAACTCTAGTTTTGGATGATAAAACTGAGGCTACCAAGTAGTGGAGTGAAGGGTGAGGGGAAGGAAGAGGAAGACTAAAAGTGAAAAGGACAGAGGTGGAGAGTTCTGGATCCTTAGATGGTGGTGAGATGCAGTGATTCAATGTTAACACTACTGTAATCACATGACCTAAAGTATAATAAAAATTTAAAATTGGTGGTGGTGGTGGTGGTGGTGTTGGGAGTGAATAAATGACTTCTCTAGTGCCCTGTGATTGTTCAGGGCTTATTTGTCACTGAGTTTGGGGAAGGTGGGATTATGTCCCTGGGTCCTGGAAAAGGGATGTCCTGGAGGTTTACAGAAGGAGAAGCCAATGCTGGCAGAAGCCATGATACCCATCTAAGGCCACGCAGCTGATTGGGAGGAAACCAGGAGTCGCTGAGCAAGTCTCCCGAAGGCTGAGTCTGTGGCGTTGTGCATGTTGGCATCTGGAGCACTGACAAACCTTTCCTCTGGGGTCCAGAATGGGAATCCCCATCCCTAGCTCCTGCCTGTCCCTTGGTCCCACGTCATGTCTCCAGAGCCAGGTGGACAATGACAGCAACCTGTTCTTTCTCCTCCTTTTAGGGGGCCCCCTGTGCTCTTGCTGTGTCCCTGACCCCATGGGACTCTCCTTCCTCCCCACCTACGGCTGCCAGAGCAACCGCACAGCCAGCGTGGCCGCCCTGCGCATGAAGGCTCGCGAGCACTCCGAGGCCGTGCTGCAGTCGGCCAACCTCCTGCCCGCCACCAGCAGCAGCCCCAGCCCGGCGGCCAAGCCGACACCTCCCGACAGCAGCCAGGACAAGACGCCTCCCACCAAGGACCAGAGCGAGGGGGAGAAGAGTGTATGAGGGTCTGGAGCGACCCTGCCCTGCGTGCCCTGCCCGCCCCCTGCTTCTCCCAGCCTCGGCCCCCCGTGGAAAACTCTCCAAAGATCAAGAAGGAGTCAGTTGCTCTGGGGTCTCTGTGGATTCACAAAGGAACCCAGGACCCTCCGCAAATCTGGCACCTGGGAGGTACCTCTGGAGCCTCCCACCTAGCCCCCTGTGGGGCTGTGTTGTCCTGACTTCTTTGGTGACATGACCTAATGGGACTCAATGGTTCTAGAACGTACTCTGTGGTGAGAGTCCTGGGGTTCCTCTTGTCCCAGAAGACTTGGGATGGAGGAGACTGTTTGTTCTGTCATCCTCTCCATCCTTCTCCTGGACCACCTCTGAAGTCTTGTCAACCCAAAGAACCATGGCACCTGAGAGACACCAGGGGCTAAGTCGTGGGAAATGGGATGTGTCCCGTTCTACTCTTGTTCCCCATTCCCAAACAAGGGGAGGGGCAGAGTCCTCCCTCCTTTTTTGGCAGAGGTGGGTCATGGGCTTGGTAGGTCAGCAGGTGAGCAGTGAGGTTTGGGACAAAGCCAATTGCCGGGCTTGCGGTTCCTCTGCCCTAGGGGGTGCCCAGTGTGTGCTGTGGGTCAGGGAAGGCCAGGCCAACTGGTAATCAGCCTCATGCTCCTGATCTGGGGCCACCATCTTCACACCACAGGCCTGACGCAAGGGTGGACACCACGGAAGGCCCCTCCCCACCAAGTCTGCTTCTCAGACCCCATCTCGGTCTAGATTGTGGAGAGCTGAGCCCCTGTCTGTGGGCGGCAGGGGGTCCTTGGAGCAGGAAGGTAAGCCCCAGGATTGCCTCTGAAAAAGCACGGAGGACCTTATGCCTTGCCTCAGCTCCTTGACACAGGAGGGGCTATCCCATGGGGTTTAATATTATTTTTTAAGCTAAGAAAAAAATTGTAGGAAACAAGATGAAAATGGTGTATGTGCAGACATGGGGGCGTGGGGAAGAGGGCTTCCTTGTGGTGTGAAGAGAATTGTTAATTCCAAAGGGCCAAATTTCATAGAGATTTCAGTTCTCGTCTATGTGTCTGTTTTCACTTGTGTGGGTAGTGAATTGGAAGAGAGCAAAGGGGAAAGTGCAATAAGCTCAGTCACTCCCTGGTGGGGGGTGGGGGGTGGGGTTCTCATACCTGAAGGGTGCAGTGTCTGCTGGCTCACAGATGGTGTTTCCAAACCGTCTCTGCTTCGATGAGGATGATTTTTCTTTCAGTTCTTACGGTCAAAAAGCTTACCTTCAGATCACCCCATTTCCAGTTAACCTTTCTCCCCAGAACACCCCTGCCCCAATAATACTCCTAAGTGTACTGTGCCTCGCCTCTGATTACTGCAAAAGCATTTGATAAAATACACTGTCTCCTTAAAAAACAAACAACAAAAAAATCAAATCCTTCTTCCTGCTGTATTTTGCTTGTTGAGTACAAAGATGAAGCGATTTGCCAAAACCCGGCAAAGTCTCTTCCGTTTCCCTGTAATTACGAATGTTCGGTTGAACGATGTAAGCTCAAGCCCTTATGTACACTAACTCTTCAATCTAATTGTTTGATTAAACTCGTATTTCCTCCAGAAAGGTACATAAATAAGTGAACTGTTGAGCAAATTAAGAATACTTAACAGCATTGCATCTGAAAAGTAGTTACGCTGATTAAATTTTGTGTCCTTGAGGACTTTCAGGAAATTACTTTTGATCGTCAATAACACAATTAAGTAAACTACACACACATTAGCATGAATAATTGATAAGAAATTATGTATTACCACGAAGCACTGATTTAATAATTCATGATGCGACACTCTAGTGACTGTGCAAAACTGGATAACATCGGAAAGTCTGCCTGATGTTACTGAAAGAAAGGAAAAAAAAATATGCACAAAACCTCTGCAGAGATACCAAGTACTTAGTTTTGTTGTACAAAGGCAAAAAAGTAACCATGCATGATGTAGTTTCTGTTTGTTTAAATACCCAAATAAATTTAGAAGCGTGAAAAAGAAAGCCTGTGAGAGCACAAGGTCCTGTCTTTGTTTCTCCCAGCCCTGGGGCTGCAGGCCTGGGTGGAGTTGCTTCTCTGCTTTGGCCAGCATGCAAATGGAAATCTCTTCAAAGCTTCCAGGAGGAGGACTTTGAGACCTTGGCTCAGGAACCTGTTAGCAGATGCGGTCACAAGACAGAGTTGCTCCCAGATCCTGGAGCCTGCATGGGTCAGCTCTTCTATCCTGGGACAGACGAATGGATGGAGGGACACGACCTCTCAGGATTCCCTTTGGGACCATCCTTGGTGAAGTCCCCTCTCTTGGGCTATGAGAATGGTCTTTGATGGAGCCCTGTCTGCCAAAGTTGATGTCGAGACTATAAATAGACACCCCAGGTCCCAGGGGTTAATAGATTGGTTGATTGATTATTGCTGTTCATCTCTTAGTTGAAGTCCTCCGAAGAGATTTCCCTAATGTTCTCCAGCTTATGGGAAATCTGGAGTCTGAAGTCGCAGCAGGGGCAGCAAACCCGCCTTAGAGGTGATGATGGTGGGATACATAATGGCGGGGATGGAGGGGAGTTGGGGGCAATGACCCTCAAATTGGACACTGGGGACTCTGAGGTCCCCTTCTCCACTCCTCAGTGGGCTTTTCATTTAGGAAAACCAAGTGCCTGATATAATTGGATGGAAGTAGCTAATTGGATGGAAGTAGCTCCCTTAATGAATAACCCCCCATCTTGTTACCTATAAACCTAATGGTCAACCTAGGTAAGGATTTCTATCTCTGTTTCAGAGATGAGGAAACTGAGGCACTGAGATTATACAACTTCTCCCATTAGTTTGGCTATTAGCTTCTGCTGGAAAGAGGGAGACTTGGACCGGGTCCCCTTTCCCACATGTCACAAGGGATTCTCCTGTGTCCAACGCCCAGGAGGATGAGAGGGCCATGTGGAGACCGGTTTGACACAGGTAGGGAGTCAGGAAATAATTATTGTTCCTCCTCCTCCTCCTCCTCCTCCTCTTCCTCCCCCCTACCCCCCCAAGTCTTTAGACCATACTTAGCAGCATTCAGGGTTTACTCCTGGCTTTCTCCTTCTGGGACTTGGGGAACTATATGTGGTGTTGGGATAAAACCTGGTTGGTTGCATAGTTGGCAAGCACCTTACCCTCTTCATAATCTAGAACATCATTGCGGGAAATGTCCCAGAGCACTGAGCAAGAGTAACCTCCAGCACCAACCCTGTGTGGCCCCAAACAGTAACAATAAATAAAATATTTTTCAGTGTTTTATTATGCTTGTTTTCTGTCCTTGTTTTGTTCTTTGGGCCACAGCTGGTGGTGCTGAGGGCTTAGTCCTTGTTCTGTACTCAAGAATTCCTGGTGGAGTGCAGGGAGACCGTACATGGTGCCAGGGATTGAATCTGGGTTGACTACATGAAAGGCAACTTCTCTACACACCATACTATCTTGCTGGCCATAGATGGGAAATCTTGTTTTGCCTTCCTTTTCTCTCTGAATCGGTGGACCCATAGGAGGGACAATGTATCAACTTAGCATCTCCATTTTCAGAGTCAAACTTAGAAGGGCTGTCAGCCACTGTCTCAGCCACTGTCATTCTGTCTCATCCCGGTCCTTAAGGCCTGACCCTCGCTACCCCAAGCTAGTCCACAGGCAGGCCCTGCAGGGATTTCCAGAGCCCCCTGGCCTCTCAAGTAGCTTTTTCTAGCAAAGTGAGGGCCAGGACACTCCAGAAGAAAACTATCCCCCACATCACAGATGCTTGCTCTCAATTGTGCAGCTTTATCAAGGCAGTGATACGTGCAAATTTAGAACCAGATATATGGGGATCAAAACTACCTGCCTGGGGGGTATGGTGCCGCCAGCAGGTCAATCTGTACCTGTGAGATGAGTGCATCAGCAGCCCGATGGTGCCTTCAGACTTCCAGATACCCCAAAATTGCTGCGGTGCCTTTGGCCAGACCACAAAAACTTGGGGCAAAGTTTACCAAGGAAGTAAATGGCCAAAAGTTAGGTATGTGGGAAACACATCCACAAACCACCTCCGGCTCAGCTATATAATTGGAGGCATGGCCTCTTGGGTTCCTGATTGAACTGCTTAATGGCGATGATCCCAGAGATTCAGAAACAAATCTTGAAAAAGAGTAGCTTTTGGCAGAAATGCGTCCAGTTCCTGCAGTAGGTTACCAGTGCTGGGCCAACCCAGGTGGGAATAGGTTTCATGCCTTGGCCTGTTCCCCCTTGGCTGTTTGATGGCCGTCATCCTCCAGAGGCCACTGGACAGTCAGATCTGGGCCCGCAGTGACGAAACTTGTTGGGCCTCACGGGATGGGCGGGGAGCTGGGTCTGTCCTCTCCACCCCAACGAGACCCCAAGTCATCACCCATGAATGGCCTCTCTGGCTCCTGATCAAGCTGCTTAACGGCCTTGATCCCAGAGACACAGAAACAAATCTCGAAACCCAGCGGCTTTTGGCAGAAATGTGTCTGGACCCCAAAATAGGTTGCTGTTGCCCGACCACCCCAGGGGGAAAGGGTGTTGTCCCTCCGCCTTCTCCCCCTTGGCAGCTTGGTGGACGTCATCCTGCAGAGGCCATTGGACAGTCAGGTCTGGGCCTGCAGTGGCGAAACTTATTGGGCTTCATGGGATGGGGGTGGAGCCGGGCCTGTCCTCTCCACCCCAATGAGACCCCAAGTGATTGCCCACAAACGGCCTCTCTAGCTCCTGATCAAGCTGCTTAACGGCCGTGATCCCAGAGACTCAGAAACAAATCTCGAAACCCAGCAGCTTTTGGCAGAAATCCCTCCAGATTTAAGAGTTAAAATTTCGGAATTTCAAAATCACATGGCCCTACTGCAGCCACGTTACATCATATGTTATTCATAACCAGCAATAGAACACAAATTGTCTACTGTTGCCTTTTCAGCAGATCTGAGTGTTGGGGTAAAATCTCAAAAAATAATGGTGGGT